TGATGAGTGCTCTGCGCTAGTCATTGTTCGGAGGCTTCATTGCTTCCAAAAGCATTCAAGCTTCGACCGGGATGGATTTTCCATCTTCTTTGAATTGGAATCCGTTGATTTCCATAGGAGGAAAAAAGAAGGATTTAGAAGAATTTTCTTGAGTAAATATGTGAAATCCAAATTAAATCAATCAAATCCAAGCAGTTGTAATGGATTTTCTTCATGGATTTAAATCTAGACTCCAATCCTTTACCATTTTTCATAAAACTCTCCCCCTCTGTCTAAAGGGAAAAATAAATTTATTAATAGAGGTCTTTATGCCACTGCTATTTTTTGATACTTATACTTTTCCATTTTAGATATTATGAAAAAGGACAGAGGCCGTAAGCTTTATGGGAATCATGTTCGGACGAGAGCTTGTGTTTCTGGTGATGAAAGCTGTGACAGCAATGATTTAATTGATGAGCATGCATTTGATGAAGAAAAAGCATATAAAGCCCTCACACGGTTCTTATACAATGCCAGTGTACCACCTTGCTCAGTTAAAGAAGAGTCTTTCAAACACTATGTGAAGTCAGTTAACCCGTGTTTCGATGTTGAATATGACACTGTTATACATCAGTGTTTGGAATTTCACAAGGAAGAGAGAGTGAAATTGAAAGAGATTTTGAGAAGTTTGGATGGACGAATTAGCCTCTCAGTGGATATTATGAGACATGACAAGGGTAGTGTCTATGATCGATATTACGATTTACCTGATGGCCAGACAAACCTTGATTATCTTTGTGTAAAGGCTCATTTTATTGGTGAAGATTGGAAACTGAAAAGTTATATTCTCGGCTTTTCTCCTACCTTGGATGGTACTCCAGAAAATCTTCCTGAAAATGTTATTCTGAAATGTCTTTCTGATTTGGAAATTGAGGATAAGGTATTTACTCTCACATCTGCAACTGCTATAGTGAACCTTTATGAGAATGCCTTGATAGTCAGAAATAAATTACAGGAGAAAACAAGGATCCCACTTGATGGTCGGTTATTTCACCTGGGTTGTTGTGCTGACATTTTGCGTTCTGTGGTGGCAGAGGCATTTCAGAAAATTGAATATATTATCCGCAAAGTTCGCCATATGGTCTTCTGGGGAAACTCGTCCTTACTGTGGAATACGACATTGCACAAGCTGAAAGAGGCATTGGTGTTGGAGGCTAAAGGACAGTATTTAGAAACTGATCATTGCAGGGGTCGTGATATTCCATCTGCTGAAGAGTGGAAGAAAGTTAGAGATGTTTGTAAACTTGTCCAGAATGTATATGATGTTGCTGAAGTTCTTTTCGAGACAAAACATGCTAGTGCAGGCATCTATGTTCATAATTTTCTAGAATTACAAGCAAGTTTGCTAAAAGAATCCAGAAATTCAGATAAATTTGTTAGAATCATAGCTCAGAGGATGCTAAAGAAGTTCGATAAGTACTGGAAGAACATGTTCCTTGTTCTGGCTGTTGCTACGGTTTTGGATCCTCGATATAAAATGAAGTATATCGAATTTTCTTCCTTGAAGTATGATACTAGTTCTGGTATCTCAGAAGTCACAGCCATTTCAGAGTCCATTCATAGGCTTTATGATGATTATGTTACTCTCGAAACCAAGGAAGAATACACCATGAGTGATTCGAATTCTGAGTTTGAAGAAGAGCTTCCTGCAAACATCAAAGAAAGACTCTTACACCCAAACTTCGGTTTTAATTGTTTAGATGAGTATAACAAGTTCATCGAATCTGATAGTCAATCTCAGCCCAAGAAGTCAGAGCTCGAATGCTACTTGGAAGAACCTGTCGTGCCTTGGAGCAAGAACTTCAGCTTGCTATCTTGGTGGCAATCTGTGAGCCCCAAATATCCTACCCTGTCCAAAATGGCTCGTGATCTTTTGCCAATACAATTTTCTCTCGCTACTGGTTTAGAAGCATTTTACACCGAGCTACGCGAGCCTGATCAAAATTTAGTTTTCTTGGATATATTGAATGCTGGATGAGGCTTAGCTTGTTATCTATTGCTAATGATAAAGACGTGGACTCGTACCAAAAATCGGTACGAGTTAGTGAGAAGATTGCTAGGTGATAATTTTGTCACTGGTAGGAATCAAAGTCTCATTTGAACATATAAATATATAATATTTATCGCGTTTACTCCTTGCTTGAGCCTCATTATTTTAAAAACTATGGGCATGATCTCTTTTGTTTCCAGGCCATTTTCAATTTTCAATTTTCGAAAACACGTTTACTTATCTATTTTCAGAAACGAATTTCCAAAAACGAGTTTAAAATTTACAAAGAAAACGGAAAACGCCAAAAAAATCGTTTTGACTGTTTTCAGTTAAAATCAAGTCAAAACTTCATTTTTTTTTTTTTTTTTTAAAAAAAATTTTTTAAAATGACAAAAAGAAAGCGTTTTCAGCCATCTCAAAATGGACACTCAAAATACAAAACTCAAAATTTTTTTTTTAAACAATTTTTCAAAATAACAAAAATCGCATTTTCAGCTATCTTAAAATGGAAGCTCAAAACACAAAACACAAAATAAATTTAAAACTCAAAATTAAAACACGAAGGGAACAGTTCCCATAAAAAAAAATATATATTCCTACTCATTTTCAGCTACACATTCTCCTTGTAAAAAAATTTGCACTTAAATCCATTTTTTTCCCCAACAAAAAGTTTGTACAAATTTTCAGGTCACTTGCAACAAAATCCCTGATTTAACATACTTGGCAATCTATCTATAGTAAAATTATCACGTGATCACAATCATCTGATAATTGTTAAATTAATTACTCGTATTTAATAATTGTAAACTTCATGATCAGTCCTATAATAGTACAGCTCTACCTGGGCTCAAAAAATAATTCAAAATATATTCATGTTCATGTTTCATTTACTTATATTTTTGTTTTTATTTTTTGATGCTGCCAGTACTCCTCAACAAGATGCAAATTCCACGAGTAAAAATCTCATAGTACAAAGAAATGTTGAGACTTTTTTTTTATTCATGATAATAGTTTAAACAAAATATTTTGGTTTTCTTTTTTCTTTTGTTCTAAATTATAAATCATTTTTCTTATTAAGAGTATATTTAATTTCTTAATTTTCTAATGTGTTCCTATTTAGCCCTCGTTTGTTTGGTACATGTTATTTTCAAAATATATTTTTTCTTTTATTGTTAACCACAAATTTTTTAATAACATAATATTATTACGCAAATTCAAAACTTTTCCTATTTTTTAACCGCACATTTTCTATAAAATACTATTTCAAAATGTATTTTTGGCAAAAAAGGAGGCTCAAATAGGCATTAATATGCTTTCGTATTAACAAATATAAATTATTCTTATTTAAATTATTATTTAATATAGGAGTATATTAAAAGAATATATAATTAAAATTTACATTTTTAATCGAAAGGAGGAGTAATCATGCATCAAAGTAAAAAGGAGTGAATTGTTTAAAATATCACTGAACTTATATCATGATTACGAATTGCTCACTAAACTTCATTATGCTTCACGGTACTGACTCAACTTTGCCATTTACCTCTCCATCCACAACTGTAAAAAAATTCATTTGTTGGACGCTGACGTAGCGGACGAAATTCCTAGGTGACTCGACGGGCCGTTAAAAAATTACAAATCAGCAAAATCATTGTTTCATCACTCATCTAACTTACACTATGTTACAGTTTACTCACCGAATTTCAAAATGCTTTCTAATAGTCACTCATCTTTGAGATATTGCACTCCATCCATTATCCGTCATATTTCGTTCACTTCGTTGTTAATGTTCGCATAGAAAATACACATAATAAGTTACAAATGTTAGAAAAACCACAACTCAATGAAACTATAAATTTACTAAAATTACTATGTGTGAAACATGACTTCCACGACCTCATAAATTTTTTTAAAACCCAATAAAGCGTCCTCAGTTATTCTTTAGAGATATCACTTTTATAATTCGAACGTTTATTGCGTGAAAAATATGTTTCAATCTAAAGTCGAAAATCGAAAACTTAACTTGATTTGTGAAAATATTTTGTCTATATTTCACTCATNTCAAAGATGAGTGACCATTGGGAAGCATTTTGAAGTTCAATGAGTAAACTGTGACCTAGAGTAAGTTGGATGAGTGATGAAACAATGTTTTTGTTAATTTGTAATTTTTAATGGCCGTCAGATGCCACCTAGGAATTTCGTCCGCCACGTCAGCGTCCAACAAACGGATTTTTTGACAGTGGCGGATGGAGAGGTAAATGGCAAAGTTGAGTAAGTACTGTAAAACATAATGAAGTTATGTGAGCAGTCTGTAGTGATGGTATAACTTCAGTGATTTTTGAAACAATTCAATCAAGTAAAAAGAGTTATTACAAATGATGTTGAAACGCGTCGTTTTGTAGTCAAATATTTTCTCCTATGCGTAGAAAAAAACTAGAAAGACCACTTCCTTGAACGGTCGAAGATCCAGGATCTCGTTTAAAGGGGAAAGTTATGCTGCTTAAGCTCACTTGGATTTTAATCAATTTGCGGGTATGTGTCTATTTAATTTTACTTTTTACTCTCATTAACACTCTCTTGCTTTTGCAAAAGCTCAATCATTCTTACTTTAATTCCACTTTTGTGCTTCGTCGAAATTCAGAATGACCCAAGAAAAAGTTGCTATCAAAACCGAACTGCTTGAAGTTGAAAAATCACGTTTTTAAAAAAATAACCTTGTGTGCTTACTTTATTCTTATTTTTTTCCATTTTAATTATTTTTAAATGTGAACTTGAAGCTTGTTTTAAATTATTGCTTTTGTTTTCTGCTTTGGATTGGATCTTTAGCTCATTATGTTTGCAGAAAATGATAATGGAAGAGAAGATTTGAGAATTAGGTTGATGGCATTTTTGTTTAGTGACCTAATCAAAAGCATCAGTTAGTTATATGGTGGTGGAGGTGTACAAGAATGCTATGTGAGGAAATTTGGGAATGAAGAAGTGGACAGGTGGAGTTGTGATAATTTTCCTTGGTTTAGTTTTGGTTGTGAGTTACAGTTTTATAGGAAAAACTGAATCTCCAAAAGCGCACTCTGCATATGAATTTTTCAATAACCATCCATCTGGGGAGGATAATGCAGATGAAAAGGCCGATGTTAGTGATGAGCAATCCAAGAAAAAAATGGAAAGGCTGGCAACTGTCAAGGAAAAACCCCACTTTATGGATTTTGAAGGTTTGAGTGATTTGTATAGTTTGAGTAGTAATTGGTCCAAAGAAGAATCTAATGCATTACTAGTATGGAATCAAATGAGATTTTTATTATCACGGTCGGATGCCCTGCCTGAAACAGCCCAGGGGATCAAAGAGGCTGCCATTGTGTGGAAAGTTTTACTGAAGGATAAGGCTTCAAAGCTTGGGGATGTTAGGGAAAGTTTTGATTGTCCTTACTTCGTTATTGCATCTAATACTACAATGTTGAAGAATGGGAGTGTTCTAGATATCCCGTGTGGTCTGGTTGAGGATTCATCTATTACTGTGATTGGGATACCTGGTTCATGGCAAGACAGTTTTCAAATTGAACTCATCGGCTCGCAACTTCCTGAGGAACCAAAGCCTCCTATTGTGCTGCAATACAAGGTCTTTTTACCGGGGGAAAATTTGACGAAGGAACCTGTTAGTATTTTGAATACATGGACTAAAGAATCCGGGTGGGGCAAGGAGGAAAAGTGCCCTGATCATGGTTCTACTAATGTCCTAAAAGGTACGCCCTTATGTGGATTTGATGCCATTCTTCAGTTTCCATTTCTCTTCAATGTTTGTTTTAGGAACTAATTGCACCTGCATGGAGATAGCTCAAAATTATATATTTCACTCGCAATATAAGTGAAAAAAATGGAGGCCTTCCATGTTAGCTACTATGATGATCGCTGGCTTATGAGATTGATGATGAGGTGTTCATATATTCAGAATACTCATCCAAAAGCCATTATTACTTGAAGGATATTTTGAATATGGGAACCATTTAACCAGATATATTTCAACTGTTTGTGAACAGGAAAACCAGCAATACCATGTCAAAATTCATGTTGGATTATTCATGTCTTTGCTAATTTGTCATATCACGGTGATACTAAAGCTCCAGTTGTCGACTCGTTTTGGGGATTGCATGCAGTTTCTGGCTCCTTAGCATTAAAGAGATATTCTGCGATTGAGTGCTTGCTTTGTAAATCTTTTAAACATGTTTAGTCTAACCTCAGATTACGTGTGTGAATTTTGAGAATTGCAGAAATGACACTCAATCAGAAAATATAAAAAAATATCTCTCATGGTCGAAGAATGGATACATAACAGTATTGTTTGAAAACTTCAAAGATATCATTTCCCGTGCTATTCATAGCTGCTAAGAAAGGCAAATCTTAGAAGCAGAAGGGCCAACAATTCTGTGAATAAATATGTTGTTCATTTTATTTGTTATGCATAGCTTCAGCAATCAATATTCCTCAACTAATTACAAATTGGATTATGTCAGAGTCATAGCATTATGGTGCCTCCTTGCTGGAGATGAGCTGGTTAATAGTGAAAAGTCGCATCTTTTTGCAGGATATATAATTTAAATGCTTCAATACATTCTAATATTACATTTTTCAAATTATTTATAATTGTATGAAAAAGTTTGATAGTTCTTACAGCTCTTGTTTTCGCAATATAACCTACGTGCACATGTATTCTTCAGTTGATGGACTTGTAAAGTGCAATACACAAATCGTCAGAAGAACAACGGAGAACAATCCAAACGCAAGTCATACTGGCGACTTTAAGTCAGGTAATGTTTCTGAAGGGAGTCCACATGCAAACTCTAACTTCCATTTTGTGGAAGGTAACCCGTTTGCTGCAACATTATGGGCTGGTGATGAGGGATTTCACATGACAGTGAATGGAAGGCATGAAACATCTTTTGCGTATAGAGAGGTTAGTTTTCTGGCTTATCTAGGTTAGTTTTGATCAAAGGCTTGGTGCACCATTTTTCATAAATGGGTTGCAACGAGACTTGAACTCAAGACCGCCATCTCCGATGATACAATGTTGATCCCCTTGTATAAAAGTTAAAGTTGATAGATGAGAAAGAAGTTATTTATTTAATTCATCTATTCCACGTACTAATAATGGAGCTTACACAATTGCAGAAGCTTGAACCATGGTTGGTTAGTAGAGTCAATGTGAAAGGTAGCTTGGATGTCGTATCTATCCTAGTGAAAGGATTGCCTGTTTCCAAAGATTTGGATTTAGTTGCTGATGCTAAGCACCTCAAAGCTCCTTCTCTTTCTAATAAAAGGCTAGTGCTGTTAATTGGGGTTTTCTCAACTGGGAATAATTTTGAGAGACGTATGACACTGAGAAGATCTTGGATGCAATATGACACTGTACGCTTGGGAGATGTGGCCGTTCGCTTTTTCATTGGACTTGTAAGTGAGGCATTGCAAACTAGGAGTTTGTTTTATCAGCCTAAGATAGTCTCAAATAACTTCTCTCTCCACTGCTTTTTGCCCAAAATTAAATTCTGTAAGAATATGATATTCCTTTCTTCATTTGTCTTTCATATGTTGAATTTTGAGGCATATATCTAAATACCACATTTATTTCAGTTCTTCCTAATAAGAATCTTTTAATTCTTAATATCTTATGAATAACCTTTTAAAGAGGTGCTTGAAATTGCAGTTTAAATCAATTGTTATTTGCAATAATGCTGCTTACAGGACTTCTGGAGATGATGTATCTATAGAATCCTAGTTAGTTATTGGAATCCTCTCACGGATCGGAAATTTATTGTTCCTTTTTTTCCCCCCCAATAGTTTAATCCTGTTTTCATAGTTTTATTTTATTAACAATGCGATAAACAGTCCTATTCGACATAATTTTATCTAGTGTGTATCATTGGATTGGTATTATTACTAACATTTTCAACTTCAAGTAACCATGCAAGATCGATTGATAGTGATTGATTTTTGACGTGATATTATGTAGAAAACTATAGATATCAGTACATGTAACTTCCTTTTTGGAGTTCCATTATAGCTGTGTTCCTTTCCTTTAAAGTTTAAACCACCATTCTTCACCAAATAATTTGCTTGCAACATGTCTAATCTATTCTTCCTTCATTTTTGAGTTTCTTTCCTCTTTTAACTGAATAACACTTGCAGCACAAGAATAAGGAGGTCAACTTCCAGCTCTGGAAAGAAGCTCAGACATATGGAGATATCCAATTGATGCCTTTCGTTGATTACTACAGCCTGCTCACCTATAAAACCGTTGCGATTTGTATCCTGGGGGTATGTCTTCGATGTTTCTAATTAAAATGAAAGATTTTTTTTACTGCTCTTATAAAACTAGTAAGCAGAATAGAGTAACCTTCACGGGACAATTGTTAAGTTCCCGACTCAAACTCTAATTGCTTGATATGGGTGAGACTGTGGAAGGATGTGACATTTGAAGATGACACGAGACTCTAGTTAGTCAAGAATTCATCAAAATTGTGTCCACTGTCCACTAACGACAAACCCTTGTTTTAATAGAAGGGAGATGATGCAGGGCATCACTTGACCACGAGGGTGGCCCCATCTTGTAAGAGTTCTTTGAAGTAAGGCCCAAACAAGTAGTGCTTAGGGTGGATAGCCAGGTCTGGTCTTGGGTGATAAAGGGTTTGTCGTGAAAGCTTGCTCCCAGGGTCGTCAAAACGGTGTTTTCCAGGCTCAATTTCACGTTACCTTTTTCTACCAATCAACCAATCCAAATGGCATCAACCCACAGTCAATATGTTCCCCTCGGTTGCTCCTCAACCTCACCCACAAAGGACAAGATAACGGTGATGATTTTAGCCACAATGGCACGAGAAAAAAAAAACAATGGAAGAAAGCGAGAAACGAGACCAAAAACACAAAGTTAAGCGACCGATTTTTCTCCTCTCCAAGGTTGCCGGTTTTCTCTCTTCTTGCATGGTTTCTTTCTTCACTTTTCTCACCCAAATCACCCACAAAATGGCTAGGTTAACACACCATATATATAGGCTAGGTTAGGCTTTAGTTGGACCAAGAAAATGGGTTAAATGGACTAAGATTCAAAAGTCATCTAATAGGTAATATATATGGGTCGTAGGCAACATTAATTGTTTAAGCTACTTCCAACGGCCCATGTTGTTTTCGGGTCGAGCCTTTGGACTTGGTTGTTGGTAATAATTTAATCAAACGTTTACATCATAGCTCAGGATTTTTTGGGTATCAAAAAACCCAACAGGGTTCAATTGCATCTCTCCTACTAGCTGTTGCTTTCGAGAGAATCACTTTCTTCGCCCTATCAGTTCGTATAGGATAGTGCTTTGCGTGGATTCAAGATTGCATATCTGCTACTAGCTTCGTCTTTTGGAAGAATTGGTTGTATCACTCTGTATCATGAGATGCCAATATTAAATTACGTCTATTGAAAAATAGAATGAATATTAATATTATCCATTCTTTGGGCAAAACCGGAAATAACATGAGTAGTTGGATTAGCCGGTCAAAAGATTGAGTAGAGTCAGGTTTTCTGCATCTTGTGCTGTTGTATAATGGCTTTATATTCCATTGAATCTTTGATCTTTTCGTCTGCCTCTAATCACAACTTCGTACACTCAATTTAGGTTCTGGAATGTTTCTTGGTGCATCCACTAATTTCTCCATTCTCTTCAATTTCAGACTAAAATCCTGCAGGCTAAATATATTATGAAAACCGACGATGATGCTTTTGTGAGGATAGATGAAGTTTTATCAAGTCTTAAGGGAAAAACATCTAGTGGGCTTTTATATGGTCATATATCCTTTAAATCAGAGCCACACAGGAATAAGGACAACAAATGGTACATCAGCAACGAGGTATCAACTTTATCGGTTAAATATCCAATTTCTATAACTGATACCGCCCACTATATATCACTTCAATGTTATATAATGGTTCTCTTTGACAGGAATGGGCACATTCTTCGTTTCCGCCTTGGGCCCACGGTCCAGGTTACATAATTTCCCAAGATATAGCAAAATTCATTGTTCAAGGCCACCAACAGAGGGATCTCATGGTAAGATCTAGTATACTTACAAATTAATCTGTTTGTGAACTTCAATTCATAAAATCTTATGTTTGTTCTATGTATTACTGCTGATGATGTTATTGAATCTTGTGATGCAACTTCTTCCTGAAAAAAAGCTAAAATTACTTTTTGATGTTTTGATGGCATTTCTGAATCTCATGGGGTCATTCTTTCTATCTATACACTGTCTTAGCTTTTCAAACTAGAAGACGTTGCTGTGGGAATATGGATCAAGCATTTTGAAAAACATGGTCACAAAGTGGAATATGTCAATGATGACCGGTTTTTCATTGCGGGATGTGAATCAAATTATGTTCTTGCTCATTATCAAAATCCGAGGATGATGCTTTGTATGTGGGAGAAGCTGCAGAAAGAGCACAAGCCCGTCTGCTGCGAGTAAAACCACTGTCCAGAAGATGTTCTTGCCTATGTTGTAAGCTCTGTAGTTTTTGATTTTTAAGGTTTCAAACTTGGGTTTTATTTGCTCTCATTCTTTAATTTGTCAGCCATGTGATCATCTCACATTTGTTCTTCTTGGAGTAACAAGTTTTGGTGTAGAACACGATTAACATGTTTTGTATAGTGGACTAATCCGCACCGAAGAGGATTTAAAAAGGAAGGTAAAATTTTGTACCGTCTTGGATATTTTTGGTAAATGGATTGAAAATCAACAACTGAAGTATTTATTGAGCAAGAGTAATTATATTACAACTACGAATTTTATTAAGAGCACCACAATTTTAAATATTTTTCTTATGTATTTAAATAGTCTCAAGCAAAATTACATAATTAGGTTTTTAATATACTTTTTAATAAAATAAATTATTATTCCACCACAAACATAATCCTAATTTTTTATTTCTTTTTCCCCAACATCCTATTCCCATGGTTGGACCACAGGTTAAAAAAAAAAAATCGCAACAGTTTAAGAGTAAAATCAAAGAAAAATCAATGTATAGAAATAAGTAAATTTCAATATTTAAATAGTATCAAGCAAAATTGCATAATTAGGTTTTTAATATACTTTTTAATAAAATAAATTATTGTTCCACGACAAACATAAACCTAATTTTTTATTTCTTTTTCCTCAACATCCTATTGCCATTGTTGGACCACAGGTTTAAAAAAAAAAATAGCAACAGATAAGAGTAAAATCAAAGAAAAATCAATGTATAGAAATAAGTAAATTTCAAGAAATGTAATTTCTTCCCTTTTCTCACCACTGATGGCTGTTTCCCATTGAATCCTACAAAGAAATTAGAAAAAATCATACGGGTGTCTTTCTTAACTTGTATAGCATACACAAATACAAGAAAATTCAAGATTATACTACCCGACACCCACAGAAAGGGTATGAATGTGGTGTGCTATATCTTTCTTTCTTAACTTAACCAGAGTTATATTTGTAAAATACTTGTAGTGTGTTTATCAAGAATATGTTTTAATCGGGATGTATCTATATTCTATAATGTGGTTTAATGAGCAAAAAGTATGGTGGCAATATATCCACCCATTGAGCATGTACAATTATGGTTAACAACTTTTGTAGACAACCGTGTGTTTGACAAAATCTAAACCATCCATTTTTAAAAAAGTGTTTTTTTTTTTTTAATAAACCACTTAAATTGGGACAAGATATAAATTGTCAACAAAAGTTGTTAACAATCATTATACAAATATCCTATTTGTAAAAATGATGACTTTCTTTTTTGAGTTTTGCTATGACTCCAGTGTACAGCCATCAGCACAATGGTTGCCCACTTTTTTTATTGGCCGTGGGCCCCTCTTATCGGGAGGGGATGCACAAATAGCGAAACCTTTCTTTTTTTACACAGATTAAGCCCCCATTTGATGCACATTTTTGGAAAAAAAATGCATTTTTACTGTTGATATGATGAGGAATATGTGGTTGAAAAAGAAAAAAATTATTAATGTGATGGAAATTATTATTTTATTAAAGAATGTGTGGTTGAAAATGAATAGAAGAATGAGAATGAGAATTATAATGTGGCTTAAATAGGGGCTTAGATTGTAACTTTCTGTTTTGCCTTCTTGTTCTGAATTTAGAAAACTCTTATCCTTGCACTGTAATTTCTGCTCTTTCTTTGAAAGACAATTGGGCGACTATTTCTCTTCTTGCAAGGTTTTATGTTAGAACAACCAACAACCATATTATTGTGCTGGAGAAAGTGCGATATTCTCATTACTTCTGAATTTTTTTGCAAAACATGATGCAAATATCGATTGCTATCACAAAGATGCACGCACATGTCTGGGATTGCAGGAAGGACAGTGGTCTTCAGTTTCAAAATCTTACATGTAATTCACACTTCAAATTGTTCCCCCTAGTTGGGTATACTTGAAACTATTTAAATAACCTCAAATTGATATTAAAACTT